TTCACCGAATTATACTTCTTTTTTTGATTCTTAGTAGTCTCTCTTGCAATTTAATCGCTTGTCCGTGCCGTTTGTTTTCATCGTTCATGAACATCGCTTGCAGGAGTACTAAAAAATGTCGCGCTTATCAAACGCTTTATAAGATTACACATCGTTATAACTAAAACTATTAAATAAAAAAAAAAAAAAAAATCGCTATTATGTTGAAGCGTAACTCTATTAAAGTTCATTCAAACACTCGACCACATAGCCTGAGTATCAGGCGTTTCTGGGGAAAAGGGGAAAGATGGAAGCGAAAAAGGGAGAGAGCTGAAGGAGAGAAACGCCTGACACAGATGCTTTTACTGGAGCCTTCCACCCCCACACAGCATGATTCGATACCATCCAATCAAAATCACTTCCGGTCATTGGGTTGTCAGCTTCATGTGTCAAAAAGCTCGCCTAAAATAAATCTCGCTTTACGGTCTGGCCGAGCTCCGGTTCTTGTGTTGCTACGATTTCGCTTTTTTCTGAAACCTCCAATGAGGAGTTTTCGAATACTTGTAATGTAAAACCTGCGTTTTTGATTTGTTATAACATGTTTTAGGAATTGTGCTAGTGTAAGATCGCCAACGCTCTGTTTGTAAACAAACGTGTGCCCGGAAAACTGTAAACTGCTTTTGTTTACATAGTTACATCAAGCGCTTGCCTGGCAGCTAAAAAGCTGATGTTATCCTTCGCATTCTCGGGTGGTTGAAAGGAGCTGCAAGAATAAATAGGAAGGTGCGATGGTGAAACACCTATGCCTAGAAATTATCAAGTAGCAGCAAATTCCACCTTTTCACAGAGAGCCCGTGAAAGCTGTTACAAATTCAAAAAGATGTGAGAGCCTATGGCAAAGGTCAATCCCGTTGGCGAAACATGATGGCGCCCGCTTGAGCTATTTCAAAAGTGAGAAAATTTTGGAAGAGGAAGCGAACGAATTCCAGTCACGTACGCTATCGTAACCGCCTCAAGCAAAGCCAAGAAAAGCATTGGTGCTGTCGGCTCTCTCAATACATGGCTACCTCGCTCTATTTTCATTTACAGTAACGATACCCTTTTAACGGCAGGATGTTGTAAATCAGAACTTAGATATCTGAAACACTGATATCGTCTTCTTGTCCCGGTCTTGTGAAACCAATACTCGGACATAGTTTCGGCAGAAGCTGATATGAGGCGAGTACATCTTTCTTTTAAACTACGAGGCCTTGAAAGCAAAATCCTTGCTCGGGTTTTATTTTTATTCCGGGAAAGAACTTGAGAGCGCCCTCTAGAGCCTTTTTGAATTCCTCTCTGCGTCTCTGTCCCTAAAAGTATCACATACCGGCAACATGAAATCAAGGCATCTATTAAAAATTTCAATGGCTTCTCCTCGCCGATCGTTCTTGCGGTCGGTGACGTCAGGGGTTATTGTGTGTTATCCAATCGCTGCCACATCCAGATTTTGGATGTGTCACACGATTTGCTGAATGGTTTTGTGTCAGGCCTTCCTTTCTCTTCCCCCCCTCCCCCCTCCCCCATCTAAAATCTCCTCTTCCCTACCCCGTTAGGAAGGCCTGATACTCAGGCTATCGACCACACTGACAGCTCGCTCTATAGAAACGAGAACCAGCTGGCCGTATGGGTGATTTTGGAAATTTTTGAACGGTTTCGCTTAAAGCCCACGACTGATCGTCCTGAATATTTACTGAGTGCAATTTGTCTTGAAAAATTGTGAAATACCCCATTCTGTCCGAGGTCTGTATGATAAATAGTAGTGTCTCACCTCAAATGTGATGTATAAAAATTATAAAAGGTTGGTTTTAACACCCCCAGATTTGTTGGCAACAATTTGTAAAGTAAACCTGTCGAACCGAAAAAAATTCGGCGTGATTTGTTTTCCAAGAATTTGTTTTCGAGGCCTAATCTTCTGTGATCTTGAATGTGATCGAAGATGTTTGCTATTTTTTGGGTGTACATATAAGGTTATCAATTCGATGAAAGAAGTTTCACTCTAAAATAACTTAGCCTTTTCCTCAAAAGTCACATGAATGTGCCCTTAAGTTAACTGATTTGTGGATTAAAAGTTTATTGTTTGATTTAAATTATAAATTTATTAATTAGAGCTTCGCTTTTAGCCCTGGCCAAATCTATATATTGAGAAAATCGAGGCTGAAATTTGCAAAATTTTAAGAATATTATAAGAATAAACCCGAGGCGGAGATTTTCGATAGGATATAATTTTATAATGTTGTTTTTCTGGTCTAGGCTAAATATTCCTATTTTCTGCCGAATTTAGGCTTAAATATTCTTTTATTATCCTTAAATTGAGTGATCCGAAGCTTATGTCATTTCCGTTTTAACATGTATTGCATAGAGTATCAAGGTGCCGGTTCAACGAGCCGTTATCAGATTAGCACTGAAGATTTTGAGCGTGCTTGCTAGTTTTCCCCTTTAGAGAAAGAAATAATTAATTATACCACTTAAGTTAAAAACACATTTTTGATTAACTATTTTGAAAGGCCTTGAAAGGGAAAACCCCGTTTATATTAGTAATATGGCATCGCCATTTGTCTCCCACTAAGTAGAACTTGAAAATATAAGAGGAGATATACGTCTTCCCTTTCAGAGTTAAAAAAAGGTCGCTTGACCATCTGAACTATTCAAGCCGGAAACTGTAAATATGCGCTGGAACTATACTGAAACCAAGCTTTCAGCGACTCTTTTGGCTCAGGCAAAGATCATGCAAACGGATATGAAAGTAGTTTCGATTTAAGGTTGATATTTCTTTCGTTAGTATGATATTTTTAAGGTTTCATCGAAACAGTTTATAGGTTATTCAGTCTTTAACTTCCTGTGAATTTACAACAAATCAAATGAATTTATGAAATATAGCTACAACAGATTGATCTTGGAGGGTTTTGCATGTAAAGGGGGCTTCATGAATCCAACTTTAGCGGGGCCTTTAGTGTCCGGGTTAAAGGGGCAGTCTCATGAGTTGCGCATGCTCGGGAAATCGTCTTCACAACGCTTGTTTATCATGGCCGCCATGATGGATTCTTCGGTATTGTGGAAATATTTTGCTTGGAATGTCCTCGATTTCTTTAGTTTGACATTTAGAACGCGCCAAATCGAACTCTTATCGTTAGGTAAGATCACAAGGATGTAGCTGTAAGAGTTCTTTCAGCACGAAGCGCAAAGGAAACAGTAACAGAGGATGTTCGTTTAAAGGCCAGTGCGGAGACAGTTGTAACTCCAGTTGTAAAAATAGGGTAAGTTGTCATCGTAAGAAAATTATAACGATTGCACTTCTAGTTTTTCTGAATCTTCTCTTCGGTAGAAATTCATGGACGGTTATTTTTGTGCCTTTCAGGAATCGCAAGGAGGTGCGACCACCAGGAAATCTTGGCTTTCGCCTGGCAAGTGACGCCAACCCAAAAACCGAAAGATTATCAGTTAAGAAGAAGCTCAGAGTGAAGGAAAATGACGATGTCAAGGTGGCACTTGGATTTTTTACATTTCCAGAGACTAACGCAATGGTACAATGACATATACATGTCAAGGTGAATAAAAAAGTGTGCTCTACAACTACAGCTGTACATGACTTTAGTCAGCTGCTTTTATAGTATAATGTGGATAACTTCTTTAGCATCTTCGTTAGGGTAGCTGGTAGCTTAGCCTGATTAGCTTAGCTGGCTAACGTAGCAGGCTATTTTTCTTTAGCCTCTTATTTTTTTTTTCACTTCTCTTGGATCACTTTCTTTTGCTCTGTCTTGGATGTATGTTGCAAGGTTATAAATATTGTTTTTCATGAAGATTTACTGCTCTCTAGTAGCATTCAGATAGAAAAGACTTCTTGACATTTTGGTGATTTTTCTTCTTTTTTTTTCAGGAATTTATTGGAATCTTGGATCATGAAATGAAATTGCCCAAAATCATGCACCCAGATTTCTCACCACAGTTAGGGGCTCAAGAGTGTTTTACCATTCAACGTATTGAGAACTGTTTCGGTTTTTTTTACCATCCTGACCAGTGGCAATGCTAACAGATTTGAGACTTAAGTATTGCTGTTCCCCTGAATTGTATTCCCTACTGTAATATTGTATTAAGTAGTGGATTTAGTACCCTAGCTTTTTATTGAATGCATTGATGGAGGTGAGCTTGTGTTGATACAAACCTTCCTACTTTTCTTATGGAAAGTATGCATAATAATAATTTTTCGCACAAAAGTAACATGATTTACATAATAAAGCAGGAAGGATTCCAGTATTCCCTTTAAAAAGCACATATGTGAGAGGGGAAATTTGATGCTCATCACTTCCAGGGCTAAAAGTATAACTCCAAAAGTCAGGTTATTTCCTTTGTTTTGTTTTACATCAGTCCTGAACATGGTACATTTTCTCAGATATTTGACATGCTGTGAATCAATAAGGGAGCATTTTTCCTTAACTTCCAAAAGTACTAGTGGTTTCCTCAATAAAAGTGTAAATAGTAATGTTTGAGTTCCCTTATATATTGTTTATTCCTCAACGATGCTGGGCTTACAAAATATAGGGGAGGTTGGGGGTGGACTGATCAGTTCATTAATTCATGGAAAAAGCTATTTAATACACATGCATTCCAGTTCACACTGTAGGTCATAGCATATTTTCCCAAAAGAAGATGACTTACTATTTTTCTAAAAGTTGCTAATGTCTTTTAGGGTTGAAATTGACAATTTTTCTTACTATAATATTAATATTAATATATCAGTACCAGACATGTCTTTCATTGTTCACAATTCCTTGTGCTGTACAAAAATTTCACTTTGAAGAATATCAGTATTTCTTTCTTCTTGATGTCTTGATTCTCATAAGATTTTACTGTAAATTACCTCGATTAATGCAAATGTATAAAAATTAAAGAAAGCGATAAATCTTAGTCTGATAACACTATGACTGGACTCTGTTCTATGCATCTCAAAATATGACAACTCAGTCTTCCATGGGTGATCGATTTTTCTAAAGATCACCTTTTTCTGGTTCACAGCTTTTTAACAGTGCAGGTAAACTGAAACGATTCTCCCACTTGCACAATTCTGCAGTGGGAGGTGGTGGTATGGCTACAATGGATTGGGGCCAACAGTTGGGGATCACTTGCATTTAGAGAGATATTCCTTGTCACGATATCCACATAATGTAATCTGGCATGTAATATGTTAGCAATGACGAGGGGAATAAATTCATATCCCTTGTCTGCTTTTATGATGTTTATGTCCCATTGCTTTGTCTGTTAATATTATTTTCAGCTGAACATCTGTTCTCCTGGTTTTTGGGGGGGTTTGTGGCAGGGGGGAGGTGAAGGTGGTAGTTCTAGCCAATCACCTCATAGCATTTTCTCACTCTGTAGGCCCTGTAACTGTAAAATATTCAAGTTTGAGAGTGAGAAAATATTTTCACAACTTAAGAAAATGCTACTAAACAGAAAATCAAGGCCACAATAGAACACTGCAGTTCAATAGAGAATCAGCCAATGAAAATGATGATCATTAACATCCTCATCACCAGCACAGTCAACAAGCAATTACCTGAAAGATATGCTCTTTGATGCCTACAGCAGGGATAGGCTATTAACACAATCAATACTTCCTGTGTGCCTGTTGAGATAAACAGCAGTTAGAAAGTATGAAAAAAAAAATAGAGGGAAAAATAAAATTGTTCATTTTTCCCAGCAAATCACCTTCAAGCTCACTACTTCGTATTTTGTTAGTAGAACCTAGTTTTTCCATAAGAAGTGGATCTCTTGACCCAGGCATATGAAGAAAGGCAGGGTCAGGGGGAGGGAGTGGTGGGGGAGGGGGGGTAGGTTAACACTTTTATGCATTGGAGTTTCACCAGTGCATGTATGTGTTTTGTTAGTAGAACCTAGTTTTTCCATAAGAAGTGGATCTCTTGACCCAGGCATATGAAGAAAGGCAGGGTCATGGGGAGGGAGTGGTGGGGGAGGGGGGGTAGGTTAACACTTTTATGCATTGGAGTTTCACCAGTGCATGTATGTGCCTAATATTATCGTGCAATGCTTTAGGAACCACCCTGATAGTGGCAGAAGCTAATTTTTCTTACCCAGCCCATGGGGCAACTGAAATTTTGTACATAAAAATCAGTGTAACTGTCAGTGTCAATAGATCTGTCTTTATTCAAGGATGGCAGAATTATACAGTGCTTGATTACTGAAAAAAGGCACCAAAACATCATGGCCAACTGTAGAATAACATAATACTATTCATAGGCAATGTACCCCACCAATGGACCTTTCATGCCCGGTTTAGAGATCACCTTGGGAACAAAGTGTTCGTTAGCAGAAAGAGATTACTTGTAAAAACCTGACATGCAGTAATGAAAACTCAAGTGCAATCATAGATAGACTGTTATGTCTATCCAATATCTGATGGAATATATATATAAATATATATATATATGTTGTGGTTAATTTGCTATCTCCGGTAATTTTTCTTTTTCTTTTGTTTGAACTTCATTGGCATACATTACCATACTCAAAAACTAAAGAAAAACAAAAATTATCTGAGATAAAAATATAACTACAACAAATATACTGTGAAGTATTCAGAGGTAGACTCTTCTGAATCAGAACATATATTCTCGTCGTGAGAAAATAAAGACGAGTTCAAACTATAATCGAAAAAAAAAAAGAAAGAAATCAGATGGGATTGTTGCCTGTGATATGTAAATAAAGACAACAAACTATAAGTGAGACACCTTTATAATTCATATTGTAACCAATGCACGTATTCGTAAATGCAACTTACATTGCTGCTTTATTGCTCTCGCCATCTACGCCACCAATATCTCGAATGGGAGACTGACTCCATACCTCAGAAGTGCTAAGCAAACTATCAGCAATAATGGCTGGAGACTCGACAACAGAAGGCGAGGGCTGACCCAAAGGTTTAACTGGAGTCTACAGATGTAGGTCTGCGGGAGTAGATCTGCACCGTTTTAAACCTCTTATTTCACTGGTCACCTGTAATCTTCGTTTGTGGCCCCTTAAGGAAAATATGTTTTTATTGATAATCAACATTCAAACGAAAAAAAAAAACAACAATGCTAACCAACACGAAACATATCACTGAAACATAATAAGCATCGTCGCACCTTGGCTTCACTTTCGTCTTTCGCCTGTCTTCGTGTAAGTGTCATAAATATGATCATAAATATGACTCATTGACAAAATAATCTTTAACGGTTAAATCATCAGGCAAAGAAAAGCAAGACTTACCTAGCTTCTCCGATATTCAAGAGATGACTAACGTGCCGCGAAAATATCGCTGTCACTAGAACATTCACATCCTGCCTCGAATTTCGCTGTAAGCCACGACTGAAATATATTATTTCGAGGAAAGTACGTTGAAGCTAATATTACATAAAGTAGAAACTGAGAAGAAGCGATAGTTTCCTAGTTTGAATTTTGGTGACGTCATGTGAAAACCAAGAATTGGCGTTCTCTTTTTTCATGTTAAGGTATATTTTACAATAGGTGTCAAACGTTTTATTTATGTTGCTGTTACGGGGTGTATCGGTAAAATGGTCACATAATCATTTATATAAAACATTTGTGAATCATTAAAGACGTCACTTTTAAGGCGCAGTCCACAACTAGCGGTAAAGGGATAGAAGACGGTAAGTTAGTCATATTAGTCGGTTCATTCCTTTGTAAGTACACTTTGTTTGTTACTTTTCTGTTGTTTGCGATTATTTGGTCGATCACTTAATTATTATCGGTGAAAGCAAGCAAATCGAAAACTAGCTGAATCAATGTTAAAAAAGATACTGCCAAACATAACGTCAGAGCCTTTCTTTCGCTGCTCAATATTGGCAAAGATGCCTCACCATGATAAAAAGGGAAAAAATACCAACATGAAAAAGAAGTTGTTATAACGGTTAATTAAGCCTACTCACGTACGAAGGATTCAACCTGGCAGTCAAAGCCCAGAGGAGGATCGAATAGTATCCCATGATGCATTTTTCCAGAAGCATCACGCAATATCGCAGTCATAGCAGATTCCATCTTGAAATAAGGTCGTTTTCTCGTCGGCTTTTTTCTCACTCGATTTCCAGTAAAAGTAAAAAATTACATTATTTCGTTATTTGACATGATTTCTCCGATTTGCAATGGCTTAAGAGCGAAGTTTCCACTTAGAAACATTTATTTTCACGGTTTCAATTAGTCTTCCCATCACAAAGTGTTCAGTGACCCACAACCAGGTCATGAATATTCAAGATTTTTTGGAATATATGTTGAAATCTTCCAAATGTGTACCTCACGCCAGCAAAATGAAGTCCTGAATATTGTACAGGCCAAGAAGTACCCAGAAGTACCCACATTTTGAAGACTTTTTTGTCGACCAAAGATGGCTGAAATTTCGAATCTTTTATCACATTTCAGCGCCATGTGTCATAATATATGTTTAAATCAGAAACTTTATTTATTCAAAAGAGCAGATCAGTATTCTGGCCAGGAAATTTCCTTGAAGATTGCTTGAGTCAGTACCGGGTAGATTGTGCTTCAGAGAATTGTTTGTCTCATCGATAGGTTAAATTTTATTTGCATTGTAACTGCCATTGTAAACTTCAGCTCCTTTGAGCGCGATGCTGTAATAAATTCTCCTTTGGTAATTAGCTTCACAGCGTAGCGGATGTTTTGTTGGAACCACTTTATAGATCAGTCATAGTTTTGGTTCTCCTCTGGCCTGGGTTCTCCTAGTGAACCTAGCGAAACTTATCAATTGCGAGTCTTATAATTTGTGTTTACAGTGCGACCGAGCACGGCACAAGTAGTTCTCGACAGATCAGTGAAATACATGTAAAACCCTTCTCAGTCAAAGCAACGCTGAAATTCTCTTTTAAGGCACAGTGAATATAATCCAACTCGATGATCTCAAAAGCAGAAGCTGCTGAACCAAAACATGTTTGGAAACCATCCACATCGAGCACTGCGATCGATGTTCACTTCGCGCGTGCTGAAGATTACTGATCATGATGTGTCACGTACGCAGTGATAATATAACATGAATCGAGGTGCATCATGGGATACCATTCGATCGTCGTCTGGACAAAGCCTAAAATGTTTTTAGGAACGCAAATTGATGAATGCACTTTGAAATAGTTCGTTGGTATTTCTACTACAGTGGTACAATCTTCTCTTATGATAGAATTTCGACATTAAAGAGGGTACATTTCTAGCTATTGATCACAGATCCCAGAGCTGATTAAGTAAGAATTTGAACTGCCTTTTGAAATTGATTAGTTTTAATACGTCGCGCTGCCGCAGTGATCATGATTACATCAAGAAAGTTGAAAGGGCGCCCATTTTGGGGAGAGAAGCAGCTTAGTTCTCTCAGAACGATGGAGCACAAATCATTTAGTAAGAAATATAGGCTCAAACAATACAGTGAAACCTGTATTAAACAAAATTTAGCTGAGGTAATTCAGGAATCGCATTTACCAAAAAAGGTATTAAAAATGGTTTGACGAAGAAGAACATGCATTTCTGTCCGGAACATTCTTTTCTCAGGTGATCCTGTTTTTCCGGCCTGGAAAGTTTCCACTGACTAAAAGGTGGTCTCAGGTGGTCCGGAAAAGACTCAAAAGTGCTGTTTCATTTACTTTCTAACCGGAAATTTTAAAAAGCTGTTCGTTAACCATATTGGCATTCTCTTTTTTTCCTGTCTGGGTATATCTTACAATAGGTCACAACCGTTTTATTTATGTTGCGGTTACGGGGTGTATCGGTAAACTAGTCACATGATCATTTATATCAAGAGAGGATATATAAACACTTGTGAATCATTAAAGACGTCACTTTTAGGGCGAAGTCCACAACTAGCGCTAAAGGGATAGAAGACGGTAAGTTAGTCATATTAGTCGGTTCATTCCTTTGTAAGTATAATTTGTTTATTATTTCTCTGTTGTCTGTGATTATTTGGTCGATCACTTAATTATTATCGGTGAAAGAAAGCAAATCGAAAACTAGCTGAATCAATGTTAAAAAAGATACTGCCAAACATAACGTCAGAGCCTTTCTTTCGCTGCTCGATATTGGCAAGGATGATAAAAAGGGAAAAACCCCAACATTAAAGCAATTTGTTATAATGGTTAATTAAGCAAATATAGGCTCAAACAATCATTGAAACCTGTATTAAGCGGACACCATCTATTAAGCGGACAGTAGCCGAAGTCCCCAAATTTATTTCNGTGAAACCTGTATTAAACAAAATTTAGCTGAGGTAATTCAGGAATCGCATTTACCAAAAAAGGTATTAAAAATGGTTTGACGAAGAAGAACATGCATTTCTGTCCGGAACATTCTTTTCTCAGGTGATCCTGTTTTTCCGGCCTGGAAAGTTTCCACTGACTAAAAGGTGGTCTCAGGTGGTCCGGAAAAGACTCAAAAGTGCTGTTTCATTTACTTTCTAACCGGAAATTTTAAAAAGCTGTTCGTTAACCATATTGGCATTCTCTTTTTTTCCTGTCTGGGTATATCTTACAATAGGTCACAACCGTTTTATTTATGTTGCGGTTACGGGGTGTATCGGTAAACTAGTCACATGATCATTTATATCAAGAGAGGATATATA